CCGCGGGGCCTCGGTGTCCCTAGCTCAGGTGGCTCCAGTGTCCCAACCGGAACACACATCCCCAGCCTCTCCCCCCTTGACATTCCAAAGTGGGGTCTGGGAAGGGGAAGCCTGTACCCCAAGGGGCGGATCAGACAGGCCGGGTGGAGGATTGGGGGGTGCCAGTCCCAGAAAGTGGGAGCTCCGAGCCCCAGGGCTTCATCCTCAGAGACACCCGGCTCCCCTTGCCTTCCCAGTACAAGTCCCTCCCGGACCCCAAACTGCAGATGCATTAAGGGGTCCCAGCCCCTGAAACGAGCTCTCTCTAACACCCCTCCCTCACCACCCTCAGGACACCGAAGCCAGACTCGACCCACAGACCTCTGAGCTCTGGGGACTCTGATTCTTCCAGCCTCCTCCGAGGTCCCCTAAAGACCAGAGATCAAAGCACCTCACCTCAGGGCCCAGCAGATGAACTATTAAAGCCACCAGGGCATGAGCAGTTTTGCCCATCACCAGGTCACACAGCTGCCTCGCAGGAGGGGGCTCTTCCAGCGTGGCTGCCTCCACGTGGTCCTCGGTTCACCACATGGCTCCTCAGGCCACCACTGAGACCCAGAGCCTGCCACACGGACACAGCCATGACCACGGCCACCCCAGCAGAGCAGGTTCACCTGTGATGCCATGGCAACCGGCCTGCACCCTCCCTCCCTCCCAGCAGCTGGTCCATGAGCTCCCTCCATGGGGCCTGGGTTCACCGTGGCTGCTTCGTGGCTGCCTCACTAAAGTAACTTCCAAGATGGCCGCCTCCCTGTGGTCTGACCCCATTGGCTACCCGCGTGGCCAACCCCCACGGGAAGAGAAAGGCAGAGCTACAAGAGTCAAGGACAGACACCAGATGGTCTCAGACACTTTGTTCTCGGCGATCACTCAGAAAGGGGAGGTCTGGGATGGAGGCTGGGCCTCGGGGGCTCTCAGCAGGCAGGAGGCGACATCTCACTGAGGCACTGTGGGAAATAATAAAGGGCAGGTGAGGGGCTTGGGGCCGCCTCCTAGAGTCCTGTGCCCTCCCTAGGCCCCTCTGTCTGCTGCGTCCTATGACCAGCCTGGGCAGCAACATGTAACTGTCCCTGACCACAACGTCATGGTTCTCCTGATGATTACTGTCCTTTTTTTTTTTTTTTTTT